TGCTGACATTCGTGCTCGTGCCAGTGCATCTGGTGCAAAGCCAGACCTGTCTGGCAGAAGTACAGAGCAGACTAAGGCAACGTGTTCTGTTTCATGACTGAGACACATCTGTCATATAAATTTGATACTAATACCAACACTGTTTCACCAAGGCATTTCAAACGTGGCTGCTGAGAATCCCTGAGATGCTCCAGATAAACAGCTCTGTCTCATTAGACTGCAACATAACTCTGATGTGAAATCTTCTAGTCCCACCAGTTTCACTCCCTGCTAAAGAAAGCATGATCGCCAGCTGAACCCCACGGTTACAGTAGGAGCAACTGAAAAACACAGGTGACAAAGTGGCTGGGTCCCTTGCAGTAAGTAGGTCTTGAGGGCCCCGGTTCAGGTTCAGTTATTTGGTAGGGCAGGAAGCTCAGCCACTCTGAGATACGCGTGCTAGAAAGGCTTCCTTTGTCAAGGTGGTTATTCTTGATCTCTCACATAATAAAGGTGGATCAGTGCGTACTGTGCTGCTGGTACCCTTCAAACCTAGAAGCATTTTCATCATCTTGGCCTGTTTCAAAAATGGGCCTTTCTGAGGTCTAAGAGTAACTCTGGAGCAGCTCAATTAACTTGTAAAGCATCATCCCTGAAACAGCCACAGGGTGCTGTCAGCCTTGGCAGCACAGGACCTCGGTCTTTGGAAGCGCCTGGATCTGCCTTTGAGGAAAACCTGCAGCAGGATCCTGCTGACAGCCGTCTCAGAAGGGACAGTTTAACCTCCCCAGCTGTAACTGTAGCCAGTGTGGATTCCTATGACCAGTGCTGTGTGAAGAATTGCTGTGTCCTTAGAAACTGCCTTCTGCCTCTTGTATCCTCCTGGAGAGCCAAGGGAGCCCAGGCTGTGTCTGTGCGGAGTCACCGGGTGTGGCTGTTCAGACAGGCTGGTCTAAGGCAGGTGAGCTTTGCGCTGATCCAGAGAGAGCTGGAGTAAGGGAAGCAGCAGTTCCTAGTGCGTATGGCTGGTTTATACATGTTAAGGTTTTCCAGTCGCCTTTGTGTAGGGTTCTTCAGCTTCTGGAACGCAGTGGCTGGAGAAGCCGCTCTTGTCTCGGCTGCAGAACGAGACGGCTGGGGTGTGAGCAGGTGTCCCTGGAGAGGGGACTGCTGTGGCCTCAGTGCAGGGGGTGAGGTGTAACATCTTGCCTGTACGTTGCAGACACAGCAGAAGGAGACACTCCAGAAGCCCACAAAGGACCAGCAGTTTACAGTCCTTCTCGATACAGTTACCAGGTAAATTCTTTCCTATGTTATCTACCTATTCTGAATTAAAGCTTTTAACAGGATTAGGAGGGAAACTGGGTTTGGCCAACAATTATTCCCAACCCTGCTACACTAAGCACCTTTGGCATGAGAAGGAGGTAGGAGACAGAGAAGTCAGTCTGACATGCCCTTTGTTTTTGTTTTTGTTTTTTTTTTTTCCCACTGACTTGTTCAGCTCCTGCAGTCTGACAGTCCCCAGGCAGAATCGCAGACCCTTCTCCAGCAAAGTTCCTCCCCCTACAGAGGACACCTCACTCCGTCTCCGGGATACAGCTATCGAGCAGCAGCACAGAGGACAGGACACAGCCTGTCTCACAGTTCCTCAGAAACATCCCTCCCCTCCGCCTCATACTCCAGCCCTGCCCACTCGGTCTCCACAGACTCCTCTGCCCTGTTTGCGGGGAATTCGGGGTATTACAGCAGCCAGCAGCACTCTGGCAGCATCAGCAGCAGCCTCCTGAAGAAGAGCTGCCCCGCTGCTGCCGCCAGCCCGGCACAGCAGACGACTGTGGACTCTCTCTCCTCCGAGTCGGGCTCCCAGCCCTGCACAGGCGCGTCGGGCTCCACCTCTGCTCCCCAAAGTGCTAGGTCACTACAGTCAGACTTGCGGACTATCAGCCTGCCGAATTCTGGGCAGTCTGTTCTCTACCAGGGCTCCCGGGGGGCAGTGATTGCCAATGCACAACACTATCCGCACCGCGGGGGAACCGGTGTCCATCAGTACAGACTTCAGCAGCTTCAAGGTTCTGGAGTAAAGACTCAAACAGGACTTTCCTAGGGCTGCCTGGACTCCAGGAGGACAAAACTGCCCATAGCTCCTTCCAGTCACCTCTGGAAGTGGCTCCTGGGCCAGTGTTGGGAGCTCGCACCTGATGCTGGGGTGCCAGGGGTCAGAGGCTGAGGTCTGAAATGCACGGGTGAGGTTTGTGAGCAGTATTGGCCTCTGGCCTTGTGGGAGAACGCAGATTTCTCTGAGGCAGAGACTGTAGCAAAGCTGTTCCCTGACGTGTGGGTACACTGCAAAAAAAAAAAGAAAAAAGAAAAAAAAAAAAAAAGGCAAAAAAAAAAAAAAAAAGGCAAATGGTTCAAGTGCAATGACTGTGGTGCAGCCTCTGTCTCTTGTCCGTGCCCATGGCCATAGTCACTCCCACAGTACGGACATCTTTTTGGATACGAAAGCAGTTTAAAGAAAACATTGGGGGAAGTTGAACTCCAATCCCAAAGCTCTCTTTCTAGGTCAGGTTCTCGGTGCGTTCTGGGGAGGGCTTCAATCCGTTACGATCATTCCAGTCACAAGCAGGTGAGCGCACACGGCTGCCTTTGGGCCTGGGTCGCCACTGCCACGGTCGGAGCTTTTTCCAGGCCAACGGAGTCTCCCCAAATGTGAACTAGCAGGGGCTGGGCGGGGGGTTGGAGTGTGCGTGCCTGTCGCTGCAAAGGATCTGGGATGCACTGGCGCGGGGGCCGCGGCCCTGGCAGGTCTGTGAAGGGGAGCGCTGCTGGGGCAGTGCTGCCACCTGCCACCGCGCCGGGGGCGGGGGGGCCTGAGAGGTAAAGTGACGCTGTGCCGAGCTGGGGGGTGGGGGGCTGCGGAGAGGGGGTGGGGGGTGGGGGGTGGGCCCCCCCCCCAGGTCTGTGCTGAGCCGGGCGCGCCCCGCGCAGCGCGCTCTGTGCAGGGGGGGGCCTTTCCCAGCCGCCGTCGCCCGCCCAGCGTGGCAGCAGAGCCAGCCCAGACACAGTGCGCTGTCTGTTCAATTCCATACGATTGCCAGCTTCTTTCTCACTTGTTTACTGTAATATCGGGCGTGTTTTTATTTATCTAATTTTATATTCAGTTATAACCATAGTAGGTTAGCTAATATACGACAGGTGTCATCCCTGGTGCTGCAGTGGAACTTCTTTCTCTTGGATAACATAATGCTGTGAGTCTGTCTCCCCTGTCTTTTCAGATGCACAGTCTTCTTCCTTTTTTAGGACTGTTACAGGTTTCTCTAATTCACAGTTGAAATCAGGTGTTTGTTCAACCTAGGGGAGACTTTTAAAATATTGAAACAAAGAGTAACTTTCTCACACTGTCTGGTTGTGAGCGTGTTGGGATGGAACTTGTCACCCTGCAGTTGGGTGTCTGTATACTGTATAAAATAGGTGTAAACTTCACTCGGCTTAGCCCTGGGGGTGCAGCCTCCCCTTTCGTGCTCTGAGCAGCACGGGGCAGGCGGGCTCTGCCCTGCCGGGCGGCGGGAGGGGGCGGGGGGGGCCCTGCCCAGAGGCGCCGGCACCTTCGGGAGCAGCAGGGGGGCAGGAGGGAGGGACCCCGGAAAGCTCTTGGAAAGGTGGGGGCTGTAGCTTCTTACTCTAGTGGAGTTTTTACACCATGCTGTAACATTTGAACTTTCACAAGAGATGTAATAATTTTGATAATAAAAATACTTAACTTGAAAACCAGTATTTCTGAAAGTTTGTTTCCTTGAGCGCTGGTGCCCAGGTCACAGGGAGGGAGGGGGGTGGCGCACGTTGGCTGTCTCTTCCCTGTCCCTGCGGGGTAAACGAAACCTTGCAGAGCAGCCCTCCCTTCTGCCGGCATTTCGGGGGAAGCCAGGGGCTGCTGGAGGAGCCGCAGCTCCTGAGGAAAGGGGAATTCCCCCGAGCTTCCTGGCTGGGGTTTGTGAGATTGCGGCTGCGCTGCTGCTCTTCTCGCTCAAGCTCTTTTGGGGAGGAGGTGGGGTGGGGGATGTCCCCTGCACGACTGCGCCTGCTTCAGGACCTGGTTTCTGGTGCACCGGTGCCCAGGGTGTTTAGTTCTCGCGCTCCTTCCCTCTTCCTTAGGAAGCCTGAGACGGGCTGAGCCTGGAGCGGGGCCTGCCAGCTGTGCCAAGTGCCGATCCTCAAAGCCGACGCATCCGTGGTGCCGATCCCCTTCAGTGTTTGACCATCCTCACCATCAAAAGGTGCCGCCGCACCTTGTGGGACGGGCTCTGTTGTGGCTCATCCCGTCCCTGTGCATCCCCCAGAAGAGTCTGGCTCCATCCCAACACCTTCCCCCAAAGCAGCTGTGGGCAGCAGCAAGCTCTCCCCTCCTCTCCCCGGGGCTGACCAAGCCCAGCCCTCGGCAGCGCGTCCTGTACCGGGGACACCAGCGCTGGCCAAAGCTCTCCAGATGGCCCAGAGGCCCCCAGGCTGCCCCCGTGCTTTCACAGCCTCGAAGCCGTCCCCGCTCCTCCACCAAAGCGTGCCACTGGACCGACACGCCGCGTGGGTTGTTTTTTTTTCCACCAAGACGCAGGAATTCGCTGTTTTTTCTGGGGGCTCCTACCAGCCCGCATCAGCCAGTGAGTGACAGCTCGTGGGGCACCGTGGCTCTGCGGGGAGCCGGGGAGGGGCAGAAGGGGAGGGTTGATAGACGGGACCCCCACCCCACCTGCAGCCTTGCCCCAGGGTGGGACAGACCCTTTCCCTGGGCACTCGCTTTGGCCAGAGCCCCCCCTCGCGTGCCAGCCTGCGTGGATAGATGCTCAGGCCCTTCCCCACCACAGCTCTGACGCCCACCTGGCCGCTCTCCCCACCCCCTGTAGCTGTGCCACGGCCGGTACCCACCCACTGGGTCCTCCGACCTCCTTGCAAACCATCTCGTCGTTCCCAGCAGCGCCTGGAGGAGCCCATCCCCATCCTCCCCACACCACAGGGCTCCAAGCTGGTCTGGTTTGAATTATATTTTTCAATAAGGTTTTGTGAAACACCGTATCAAACTTTGTACTAAAATACAGATATATTACAGCTACTGTATTCCTTTCTCCACTGATTTTCTTCTTTTTTTTTTTCTTTTTTTTTTTTTTTTTTTTTCCAATTCAGCCGGCAACAGCACTCACAAGCTGGCAAGACCCGGGCGCTGCCGGGGCCGGGCATGGGGTTCCCTGCCGGCCCCGTTCCAGGGAGGTGGCTGCCGGAGGGACGCGGGCACGGCCAGGCTCGGGGCTGGCGAGGCTGTAGGCAGGAGCACCGGCACCTACGCCATCCCGGGTGACTTTGGCTTCCAGCCGGTGTTTTGGCACAGCTCCGTCCCTCGCCGCCGCCCCGCAGGGCCTCGGGGCACGACTTACCTGCGCTCCCGCCAGCCCCGGGCACCCCGGCTCGCCGGGCTGGGCGATGGTCCCTGCAGAGCCCTCGGTTGCCAGCCTCCCCGCGCCGTGGCCCTGCCCCGTTGCCAGCGGCTCCTCAGCCCAGGGCCGTGCTCCCGCTCTGCTCCCCGCGCCCGGGTCCGGCCCTGCCAGGGCCCCCCCACGAGCCCCTGGCCTGTCGCTTCCCCGGGGGGAGCTGAGGGCCCTGCCCTGCCCGGGGCCCTGCAAACAGCCCCCGGCTACTCGCACTGAGACGCGGCCGGTGCTGAGGACTTTATTGCATTGCAAGGGCTGCGGCGACCTGAGCCCCCCCAGGGGCCCCCACACACACTGGTCTGGCCAGCGGAGCCGCAGCCGGGCTGTGGCCGCCGGTGCCGGGGAGGGTGTTGGTGGCGGCTCTCGGGGTGCTCTGGGGGTGTGTGGGGGTGTGTGTGTGTGCACGGTTGAGGCTGGGTCGTGCTCAGAGGCTGCCGGGCTCAAGCTCTGCCCCGGGCAGCAGCCGCTGGCTCCCCACGGGCCATCACCACGGGCCAGCGAGGTGCGGCCAGGGGCCACAGCCAGGATGCCGGGGTGGGCACAGAGGTTCCCAGGTCCCCCCCTGGCCACGGTGTGGCAGGGAGAGCCTTGCCATCACCAGTGGAGATAAAGCACCGTATGGGGATGGGAGGGAAGGCGTTTGGCAACAGCCCGCGGCCAGCTCGGGGAGGGGGCTGCCGGAGGGGGGGGGTGGGGGGTGTCCTCCTGCACCTGCCTTGGGGGGTTTTGCATGTTCAGCTGCTCCCACTTACCAGGGCTTACATTCAGCGGCGGCACGAGTCGGGTGTCCCAGCGGCCGGCAGCAGCGAGGCCCCTGCGGTCCCCGTGCTGGCGGGGAGCAAGCGGCAGCCTGCGGCCCCGGGCCACGTGCGGGGAAACACCATGTCCTGGGGTGGGGGGCGAGGGAGCTCGAGTCACTTTACCCTGTTTAGAGAATATGAATTTACACGTAAAAGTAGGGGTTGGGCCCCGTCCCGGCTGCTGGGTCCCCCGGCTGTGGAGACAGGATGACGGAGCTGTACAAAATGGGAGCGGGGAGGGGGCCGGGGCCCGGAGCAGCTGGCACGGGGCATCACTGGGCGCGCGTTCAGGTGGGAGGCAGCGGGTCGGGAGTCCTGGGGATGTAGAAATCTGTTAAAAACTCTGAGATTGTTTTTTTCCTTGAAACAAAACCGCAGTTGGACGCTGTTCTCGAACGAAGCGGGTTTGGGGCATCCTCCCCCGGCGGCGGCCCACGGGCGGCAGGGGTTGCGGAGCTGGCGGGGTGCGTGGGATGGCGGCACCGGCGTGGACATGGAGGTGGCTGTGGAGGCGGTGAGTGGCCGGCGCGTCCCCGGCGTGGGCGGCGGGGCCCGGGGGGCAGCACGGGACGCCGCGTGGCCGCTGGCAGCAGACGAAGGGCGGGGGACAGGGAGGGAGCGCCCGGGCTGCCGGCCGTGGGAAGAGGGTCCTGCTGCGGGCGCTCGGCCTTATATCCTCTGTGGGGAGAGCACAGCGCATTGGGGCCAACGTTGGGCAGGCCTCGCTGTGCCATCGTGCCACCAACACTGTCCCCACCTCTGCTGTCCCTGCTGCCTCCCTTCCCCATTGCTCCCTTGTCCCCACTGCCCCGCGCAGCCAGGGTCCCCCCAGCCCATCCCAAGCGGGGCCGCCCGGCACAGTCGCACCCAGACACGCGGCACGGTCAGGGCTAGGGGACGGGACAGTGACACTCAGGACTTACCGCAGTGCCGACAAAATCTGTGGAAACAGAAGAGAAGGCGTCAGGCGGGGCAGGGGCTCGGCAGCCCGCTCCCACGCAGCCCGGCCTGCCTCGCTTTGCAGGTGGCAGTTAAGCCCACGGGAGCCTCGCCCGGCTGCGGGCTGCCAGAAGGGCCGAGCCCCCCGGGCTATTCCCACCCGGGATCCCCCCCCCCGGGGGCTGTGGCGTAGGGCCCCGGGACCCCCGAGGGCGCAGCGCTCACCTTTGCTCTCTGTCTTGAGCTCCTCGTGCAGCAGGTCGTTCTGCCGGTTGCCGAGGACAAAGGCCAGGAAGGAAAGGATGAGGGCGTTGAGGATGCCGATGATGGCCAGGATGTAAGCCCAGCGCACGGAGCAGTCGCCCAGGGAATACTTCCCCGTCTTCTCCCCGCACATGTCCCGTATGGTCTCTGCATCCCAGCCGTCAGGAAAGATCATGCAGCCCAGCACCAGGCAGAGCGCTGCAAGGGGGAGAAGGAGAGGGAAACGTCAGGGGCGACGTGGAGGTGGCAGTGCCAGGTGCTGAGCCCCCCCCAGTCAGTGCGTGAGAGCAGCCCGTGCCTGGCAGGGAGCCCACCTCGGCCCCCCGGCAGCCAGGCAGCGCGGGGGGGGTGACAGCCATCGCTGCCCCGGGTGACTGCATTTGCACGTGGCTGCTCCAAGCTTGGCCCCCCCACACACGGGGACTTCAGGGTCTTGGATTCTTTGAGCAGCAACCGCAGGATCAGTGGGTCCCCAGGGGCTTTCCTCCTCACCGCAGGCTCCCCAGGTGTGGGCAGCAGCCCCCCACATGCTGTGGGCAGGGATGCTGCCTGCCAAGGGGGTCCTTGTCCCCGGGAGCCCCCGCACCCGGCCGCCCCATCGCAGCAGGGAGCACCGGGAGGAGCGGGAAGGGAAATGCCGAGACAAAGCCCATGACTGTCGAGGTAGGGAGGCAACATTTTTTCTGACCACAAGTACAAAAGCTCCTCGTATCAGCTGGGAAGGCTAAAAATATTAATGGTGTTGGAGAGCGGCTGGGGCACCCTGTGAGTATTTTTGTCCTGGGTTAGGGGTAGAACTGAGAGGTTTGTGCCCGCACAAGTAACAAGGTACCTCCCCGTCCCCTGTTGCTGGAGGGACAGCAAACACCCCGGCACAGTGGCAGCCGCAGGGGACGGGCAGCCGGTGGCTCGGCTGGCGAGCTCTTGGGGTGCTGAGGTGCGCTTTTAACTCCCCTCAGTAGGGAAGGGAAATCCCAGGATGGGGAGGAAAGCGCCCAGGGCATCACACCGGGACTCAGCCCAGCCCTCACATCCCGATGAGCTGACTGCTCTCCCCAGGAAAGTGCAGGGACACCGACGTGAGTCGCCCTCGGCAGCCCACGCACCGGCACAGAGTGCCGGCTGCTGCCTGGCCTCTGCCTCCTCCGTCCACGTTACAGACCTGATTGGTAAAAGTGCCTTTGCAGGCAGAGGCGAGCTCTGCGAGCTGATCTGCCACCGTGCACAGCCCCGCTGCCACCCCGGCACCGCATGACTGCAGAGTGCGCTGCACGCACGAGGAGCTGACACGCCGGCGCCTCCGGCACGTCATCACCGGGGACTCCCAGCCAAGCACAGCCACGTCTTGGGGAGCTCCCTGCCCACGGGGACCAGGCCAACCCAAAACCATCCCCTCTGGAAGGAAACGTATCATCGGCGCCAACGCTGTGTGCTGCGCAGCAAATGGTGAGGAGCAACCTGGCCTGCCTGCTAACCTGGGAACCTTCAAGCTAGATGGCATTTAATTCAGCTGAGGGCCTGAATTAAAGATGAGAAGTGGTAGACCTGTGTCAGAGACTCTTCCCAGGAAAGATGCTAAGAGGATTTTAGGATCCGCTGAGCTCCCGGTGCAGTGCAGCTGTGAAAAAATCTAAGGAGCTCTCTGGCCATCCCCATCCCCAGCAAGGGGGTTATTTTGCCCCCGCAGCGCTGGTCAGGCTGACACCACCCAGCCTGGAAATGGGCACAGCTGTAACAGCTCTGCCGAAATCGGTGAGGCCGGAGGAAAGCACGGCAAGGGAAGCGCTCCAGCTGCCTGGGTGGGCAGCAGCCCTCAGCGCCAGCCCCTCTCAGCCCAGGAGAGAAGAACAGGGCTGTGCTCCAGCGTGGCAGAAGGCAGCAGATGTAAGAAAAAACAAAACAAAACAAAACAAAACAGGTGCCAATTTTACCTGGTGCAGCAAGGACCTGGGCAGGCTCCTGGATTTTGTGCACGGCCCTCGGTCAGTCCTTCACAGGAGCAGAACAGCAGCCCCTGGGTCTTTCCTTGCACTCTGCAAGCATCAGTATTTCACCTGAATTTCCGTGCATTTATTTGGGCTGCAGGTGCATCCAGCTACTGGGAAAAGCGGGAGCTCATTAAGAGCCTGCTGCTCTGCAAACACCACAGCTGCGTGGGTGAGGGTCTCCCAGGACATCAGCGGGTCCCAAACACGGCACGACAGGGCAGTGCCATGGGAGGCAGTGGATTAACGTGCTGGAGGGCAACGGCACTCACATGGAGGACACGAGAGACGGTGTTCAAGGTGGAAGTAGGGAGCGGCTCAAAAAGGTACAGGAAAAACACACAGCACGTGAGCCACCCGTGCAGCGGGTTGTCTCGACACAGCCGTGGGGGACAGGCAGCGACGGGCACTGCCGGGAGCGCTGGGGCTAGCTCTAGCCTGCATCTGCTGGCCCTGGTCCCTCCTGTTCCTGCGTGCCTGCTCCGCACTGGCACCACGGCGAGGGGAGCCTGTGCCCTGGCTCACAGAGCAGCTCCAGGAGCTCTGCCCAAGATCTCACAGCCTCCGTTTGCCAGAGAGAATTAAACCACAAATTTACTACCAGGGCAAAGGAGCGTGCCCAAGTCACCACATGTACCCAAATGCCTCTGCTCGAGGGCAACTGGCCTCTTCCCACGAGCCGCTCGCTGCTCGGCAGCTCCCCGGGAAGGGGCCGTGGCACTGAAGGTAGGTCCTTTCCCAGCGAGGAGCAGTGCAGCGCTCTCCCCGTCTCTCCTGTGTCCCCAGCATCAAGCCAAGTCCTCTGCTCTGTCACAAGCAATTGCCTTTTTCATGTGTCCCCAGGCTGCCCGATGTCCTGGAAACACCTTCCCGTGCCTGCAGCAAGGAGCGACACTGAAGTGCAGAGCAAGATCAAGGAGGGGATCCCCACACAGCCAACAGGCCTCGGCGCTGCCCTTTTCAACAAGCCCCTCGCAGCGGGTCTGAGGGGGTGAGGATGGGGCTCTGCCTGCCTGTCCCTCTGCCCACAGCACCTTTCTGGCAGCACCTGCCTCCAAACACCCTGAGGTCCCTTGCAGACCTGCAGGAAAACCTTGGGTTTTGGTTAAAACAGCCTATTTCTACGCCTTGCAACAGCAGGAAAAACACCAAGTGATGACTCCTACAAGAGCCACTATTACGGCGGAAAAAAATAACCCAGCTCCTGTTCATTTTGCTTTTAATTCCCATTCTTCTGAGGGTGTGGTGCCAGCCCCACTGCCGATGGCACCGAGGACAGCTGGCCACTTTGTCACACCCTGGATCTGCCATCCCTCCCCCTGGCCCTGGGCTCCAACTCCCTCTTCCAGCATTTTCCCAGTTGGAAAGATGGATTTGAGACTGGGCATTTCAGTGATCACTGAGGCAGGGTGTGTGCAGAGGGAGGACAAACAAGCTGCAGTTTGCAGGGCTGTGGGATCCTGCTGGGGCTGGGTCTCCGGCCCCAGGGAAACCGGCATTTCATTGCTTGGTTTTTGAAGCTGGTTCATGGCTTCCTACTCCTCGATGCTCCCTTGTCAGGGTCTCCTAGAAATGAAATGGACATCTCAAGGGCTTTTGATAGCCTCACAAAAGAAATTAATTGAAGGGAATCCAATGTTATGACTCAGGCTGCAACACTGGAGAGAGAGATGAGGAGGCTCCTCCTGGCAGGATAACATCCCCAGCAGAAGGTGCCTTTAGCTAATTTGGACCATCTGAGTAACCTGTTTGCTGAGTATCACAGTTATCCCAGCGCCCCTCAGTCCTGTGCAGCTGTGCCTGCAGGATTCAAATCTTTTTTTAATCACTTTTGCTGCCTACTTTAGTCTGTAGGTTCGAGTGAAGACCGGCTTTTACTGCTCTTGCCTGCCATGGGTGGAACAGGCTAAGGACATGCCCTGGAGCTGAGAGACATGGCCCCCCACCTCGAGCACAGGCATGCAGAACATCACACTGCCACGGGACACACACAAGGGATGGAAAACTGGAAGATGTGGGAGCAACTGGGGGAAAACCAGCAACTGCTGGGTCCCAAAGGGGCTTGTTAAACCTGGCTTGGGGACAGCGAGGTGTTTGGCCCCATGGGCAGCAGCTCACCCTCCCTCAGGTTCAATGAGCTGACCGCCCCTGCCCTCATGCACATCACTCCCACCTTCACTGCAGACACGCCTCTCTGCTGGGGGTATTTCAGTGACACCCCCGCAGCCCCTCATTTCTATCTTGTGTCAAAGGGGAGGAAGCTCTGGGTGCCATATCTTCCACCGTGCCCGTGGCCACTCGCCACCATGCTGTGCCATCAGCACATCAGGGGTCCCCGCTGGAGATCCCCAACATGCTGTAGCTGCTTCTAATAAGGAAACCTCTTGAGAGCTGAGCGCCGAAAGGGACGGGGATAAACACAGGCCCCTCCCCTCTCCTAAAAGTAAAAATCCTTCAAAAATAAATTACAACTAAAGGCAGCATGCTCAGGAGGTCTAGCACTGGCCATTTACACAGACAGGAGCTCCCTTACGGCATTTTGCTCCACAGGCTGTTTCTGAGCCAAAAAATCAGCAGGATTCAGAATGGAGTTATGCATTTGCATGAATCAGAACTGACAGTTACTTTATCTGGAACAACAGTTACGGGATGTAAGCTCCGGGACACAAGTGGCTCAGCCCCCCCCCGCAGGTCCAGAGGCCCATGAGCAGCCACTACGGGAGGGTTACGCTGCCTTCCAAAGCGTGGGGCTGGCTGCTGCCCAGCTCAGGGCGCTGGCCGGACACGAGGGCTGCGCTGTGTCTCTGCTCCTGTCACCGCTGCAGGACAGAACTGGCAGGGGAAGGAGAGGGGAAATCTTCAAGAAAGCTTTTTTGGGGGCCAGAACCCGGTAACTCAGCAAATGCAAAGGTTTTTTGCAGTGATGTCTTCTTTTTGCTGCAAGGTCAGCAGGTGGAGGCGGTTCACCTGGAAGATCATATATTGGCAATATTTCTCCCTTGGGCAGAGAAAGGGCTGGAGGCCACTTCGTCCTCATTCCCAGCAGCTGTGCCAGTTAGACTCCTACCTGGTTTGGAGCAGTGGTATCTGTCTCTTAGTTTTTCATTAAGAATTTAAATGAATGACTTTTATATGTATGAAAACAATTTTTTTGAAGCCTCAAGCTCTCTCCAAGAGGAGCTGTCTCTCCAGCAAATTCTAGTTGGGAAGACAAGCCCATCCTGACGTGGCTCAGCAGAACCACCACATTGCCACCGGCACCAGGGAGTGTTTTGGGGTTGTGGCATTCGCTCAGGTCAGACCCTGCTCTGCCTTAAGGCTGCAGCCACCCCACTGCACCACGCAGCTCAGCCGTGCTCGGCCTGGCAGTTGGCAACAGGGTCCCCAACCACCCCTCTCCATGGAGGTGCCGAAACGATGCCGTGCAGCTGTGCCGTGTGAGGGGTCTCAACTCAGGTGCAGGAAAACGCAGCTCAGGTGCAGAAGGTGAAACTGCTGATCAAGGCTCTGCCTCTGCTCCCAGTTCACATGCTGGTGGGTGGGAAGAGGCCCTGAGAGGTGGGTGTAGCTCGGAAGAGGGTCTCCCAAAGGAGAAAAGGGCTGAGATGGATATGTATTATCAAATTCTCCATTGGGCAAGGTGCCTGGACATGGCACAATTAACTCCAGAGTGACACTGATAAAGACAAACCCCAACCCCATGGCCAATGACACGGCCCTGGGTGGAAGGCACCCCGTGTGTCGTGCTTGTGTCTGGGCCAGGGGAGCTGGAAGGTCTCACCACACTGACTGCTGGACTTGAAGTGTGGGGAAACGTCTCTGAACGTTGCCAGTCACCTCCTCTGTGCAAGAGCAACTGTGGGCTGCCTCTTTTGACCTTCAGTAGACTGTAAGTACAAAATCAAAGCCCCCCTGAAAACAGAGCCCTGGACCTGCTCAGAGTGACCACCCTCACAGGAGGGATGTGGGTGCGGTGCCACGCAGAGGTGGCTGGGGTCTCTCACTCCGGCATTAGTGCTGGACACTGGGACAACTTTGTTCGAAGCTCAGAATTAACTCACGGGGTGACCATGTCTTATGTTACAGCAGAGAATTAGGGAATCCGAGGAAATATTCAGGCTCCTGGTCAGCCACCTCAGTGCGTGGTGGTGGTGGTGTATTCCTGTGCTCCAGCCTCCAGCAGATGACTCTGTGTGGTCACTGGAATTGAGGCATCCACCAAATCAGCCCAGCTGCCTTCATTTTGCTCCTGCACCTGCCCTCCATGGAGGGTGGACGAGAGGGATCAACCACACAGCCCATTTCTCATCAAGTAAGCATCATCCCATGGGACTTTCTGAAGGAGTTCCTCTGCTAATTTTGAGGACTGGGGTGGCATCAGGGTACTGTCAGTCATACAGTTGTTGATGTGTTCATGTTAAAGGCCCATTTCTGGTTTTATAACAGAAGGATTTAGCAAAATCTCCAGTTTTACATTACTGGGATTTTGAACAGGGCAGATGGCTATGTTTCTGTTTGCAATAAAGCAGAGTCTTTCCTCTTAATTAGATCCAGTTTCCTCCTAGGAGGGCAGTGGCTTTTGAGCTGGAGCTTTCTGTGAAGCTCTAATTAAACCCTTCATTGATTGTCGTCCACTAATTAGACATTGATGGTTTAAACTTTTTTCTTCTGAAAGAGATACTGAATTCCTGATCATCCTGCTCCTCATTTTTCTCCTCTGAAGAGCCCACTCGTGCCCTCACTCAGCAGCCCTGTTATTCTGCACCGGCCATCCCATCGGGATGGGGTGGACCCACCTCTGCGCCATCTCTCTGCCTTTTATCTTGTTTACCTGGTTTTCACCAGTGAGACCATGAAACTTTGGGCCTCACTGTTGCTCTGCCATAGTGGTGCAAGTCCTCCTTCAGCTAAAACCTCACCGAGGCAGAAGGAATGCCTTTCCCTCCTCTGCCCCTTCAAGCCCTCTGCTCTAGCACGACCCTCTGACCTCCCAGGTGGGTGAATCTCCAAAGCTTGGTGCCACACTGTACCAGAGCCTGCGCCAGGCCACATCCCTGCCCTACCCATGGGATTTGGCCCATGGTGTCCTCTCCGTGGGTCACGGCAGCTCCTTCTCCATGCACAAGGTAACACACTGACCTGCATCTGACTCAGACGTGCCCAGGGAAGTTCAGTCCTGCCCAGCCCCTCCCCAGACAAGGGTCCTTCTTGCCAGGACACACCACCCCACCGCCTCTGCATCCTGCCCCTCTCTGATGATGACACCAGCCTCTCCTGCAGGACAGAAGCTCTCTGGTGCTGCCCCATCTCAGGGCAGGGTGGATGGTCAGTCTCTGTTAATTCCACCTTGGACTTTCCTCGACACAGAAAGGCTGTGTAGCCATGCTGCTCTAGGAGACCTCCGAGCCAAGCCACATATTCAGGGTTCTCACAAGTGCAATTGCGAGCAACACATGTGTAGCCTCGAAGTGTGAGCTGGGACAAGCCCCAGGGCAAGGTGAGGGGTACCTAGAGGTGGCAGCAGCAGGGTGCTGCTGCGGCCACCCACTCCTGAGCCAGGGAAGAACAGGAGGCACCGAGGAGGAAGCCTGGGGCTGCCTTCTGTGCAGTGCCCTCTGCCATGCAGCTCCCTGTGCAGCAGCAGCCCCGGCCAGGCACTCCGAGCCACTTGATTAAGCTGCTGAAAATTGGTAGGATTTGGGCTCTGAGCTTGCCTTAAACCAGTAAATCTTCAGAACAGGGAAAATTAAAGATGAAGGAATTTCCCAATAAGCCAAGGCAGCTCCGGGTCTGGCTGTGATCCTGGGTGAGGAGAGGTCAGGCTTTCCAGCCCAAGCCAGCTGCAAGGGAGAGAGTTTGGATAGCTGCAAGCCCCTAGCGTGGGGGGGCTGTATCCTCCCACATCAATGACTGGAGCCCTCCTCCCAGGAAGGAAGGACTGGGGTCATTTTGTTAGGAATATGAGGGGCTCTTGAGTCCTGGTGGAAGCTCTGGGTCTATGCACAGTTTGTATGCTGTGGGGGGTAACACAATGTCTTTCCACATGTGGTGAAACTGGAGAGAGAAGGAACTGAAGGGTCTCGCTACTGGGGGAAGCTCAGCATCTCTTCTCAGGGTCTTTTTCCCAAAAGGTCAGACCATCTGTGAGGACAGCTTGGAGGGATCCTTATTAATGTATGCATCAGGTCTCCTTCAGGTGAAAAGTTTGGGTTATTGTATGGTGTCCCTTTGAAGAGTGAGTCTATGAGGGTTTTGGGGTACATCTATAGTGGAGTTTCTTTTGTGGAGGAAGCTAAGGAGGAGCTAGAGACAGGGCCCCTTTTGGGGGGAATGGCTGGGCTTGAGCCTGGGGTCACTTCTGAGGAAACATCAAGGTAAATGTGTGGTGTCCCTGTGTGGGAAGCTCTGTACTCGGGAGTTCCGTTGTGCAGAGAGCTGGGGAAGGTCTGTACTCACAGCCCGTTCATGATGCTGGAGAGACAGGGCCTGGGCACAACATTTCTTTAAGGGGAAGCTAGAGGGTCTGTCTGTGCACAGGTGCTTTTACAGGGCTGGGGGGTCCATGCGTGGGTTCCTGCCAGTGACGGGGTCCCTTCAGGGGCTGGGGAGTTCCCCTACAGTGGATATCCCCTAGGGACAGGCTTGCTCAGGGATGCCCTTGGGACTGGGTAGACAGTGAGGCTAGTCCCTGATGTGAAGTGCTCTGGGGGACCTGGGTCCCCAGAGGCTGGTCCCAGGTCCAGGGTGTCCTAGGGCAACCTTGAGGCTGCTCCTTGACTCTGTAGCACAGTCCTTATTGTAGGATGTCTCAAAGCTGGTCCCGTACTGGGGTGCCCCAAGGCTGGTCCCTGGCCCAGGGTCTCCTGGGGTCTGCCAGGGCCTGGCTGTTCTGGGGTGCTCCAGGTTGTCCAGGTGCCCCAGGGCTGGTGCCTGTTCTGGGATCCCCTGAGGTGGGTCCCTGATCCAGATTTTCTGCTGAGTCCCAGGGATCTCTGTGGTTCCTTGGAGTCAGATCTTGCCTGGGGACCCCTGGGTGCCAGTGCCCAGAAAAGGTGCCCATTCCTGGTGCTCTGTCATTGCCAGTGCCTGGCCTGGGTGTCCCAGGAAGCCCTGGGGACAGTTCTCCACTGGGACACCCCATGGCCCTGCAGTGCTTGTACCCTCCCCAGCTTCCTTGAGCAACCCTGGTGTTCCCTGCGGCCAACCTCTGCCCAGGGAGCCCCAGTTGCCAGTGCCTGGAGCCAGTGCCAGTTTCTGGTGCTCTGTCAGTGCTAGTGCCAGGACTGGGTGTCTCAGGAAGCCCTGGTGTGTCCTGGGGCCAGTTCCTGGCCAGGATGTCCTATGGATCCACAATGCTTACACCCAGCCCAGCTTTCTCAGGCAATCCTGGTGTTCCTTGTGGCCAGGGGCCCTGTTGCCAGTCCCTGGGGAGCCCTGGGTGCCAGTGCCCCAAGCTGGTGCCTGCTCTTGGTACTCTGTCAGTACCATTGCCTGAGGGTGTCCCAGGAAGCCATGGGGCTGGTTCCTGGAACCGCGGCCCCGCAGTGCTTGGACCCAGCCCAGCTTCCTTGAGCAACCCTTGTGCTCCCTGCGGCCAGGGGCCCAGCTACCAGTGCCTGGGACTCCCCTGATACCACAGCCCGCATCCCCCACACCCATCACCCTCCTCAACACCCGGAGAAGGCCCCTCGGGGGGGTTATGGGGGGGCGGGGGGTACCTGCCAGCAGCTGCATCCAGGCGCAGATCTTGTAGACGGTGGCGGTGTTGCAGAAGAAGAAGAGGGCGAAGCAGGTGATGCAGCCCAGCGTCAGCACCATGGAGAGCAGCACGAAGAAGGCCGCGGCCTGGAAGGCGCCCGAGGGGATGGTGCTGAAGTCGGTGAAGGAGCCGCGGCACGACAGCTCCCGGCCCGCCAGCCCGCTGCCCACGCAGTAGTGGAACAGCCCAAAGTAACCGGGCTTGGGCGTGTTGACGCTGTCGCCCACCCAGTAGGGTTGGATGAAGACCACCACGTTGATGATGGCGAAGCAGATGGTGAAGATGGCCCAGAGCACGCCGATGGCGCGCGAGTTCCGCACGTAGTTGTCATGGTAGAGCTTGGAGGCTTCCTGCGAGGGCAGCATCCTGCCGGCCGCCGCGCTGCTGGGGGAAGGGGGGGGAAAGGGGAGGGGGGAAGGGGAAGGGGAGGGGGGGGGGGGACCGCGACGGCGGGGAGCCCGCCCGGGATGGGGGGGGGGGGGGGAAGGGGGGGGGGCCCCCGCGGCCTAGGCGCGCCCGCGGGCTGCCTGCCCCTGCGCCACCCGCGCCGCCATCTTGGCTGCCGCCTCTGCGCCCCGCGCGCACCCCCGCCCTGCGCGCGCGCGCGCGCGAGGCGCCGCGCGCCCCCCCCCCCCGCCTCACGCCACTGCGGAGCCGAGCCCGCCGCGCGCGCGCTTCCCCTCCCCGCCCCTCCCTCTCCGCGAGGATCGGGCCCCTTCGGTTCCGCCCGCCGAGCGCTCGGCTCGGTTCGGCGGCGCTCGGCTCGGTTCGGGCCGCCTCGGCAACGCTCGGAGCGGGTCGGTGAGGCTGAGGCGGCGGGCGGGCCCGCCCCGCCCCGCCCCGCCCCGCCCCGCCCCGCCCCGCCCCTCCGGGACCGCTCCCCGGCCCGCTCGCGCCCGGCGGCGGCTGCTCAGCCCCGCCGGGCCCGCCCACGGCAGCGCCTGGGCACGGCCCCGGTTACCGCCAGCAGGTACACGCGTGGGCGGGGCCGGAGCAAGTCCGTTGCCGCCAACGCGGCCGCGCACGCAGTGCGAGTAGCAGGGCCCGGTGCAGCACGTCTCGCGTGCCCTGGCAGCGTGGGGCCGCGGGACACGGGTGGGCCAGTTAAGACGCGCCGCGCTCGCTGCTGCCGACCTCCAGCTTTCACGAGAGGCTCCGGGGGCCTCGTCCTCTCCCCGCGGCGCGCCAGGGCTCGCAGCCGCTCCGCCGGCCGGGCGGGCACACGGAGGCGGAATAAACTTCGTGTTCCCCCCCCCCCCCAAGAGCGAAGGAGCGGCGCGTTAACCCCGGTGCGAGCTGCGCCACGGCGCTGGCACCACCCCCGGCGCTGCCGCCTCGCGTCCCACCCCGGGAGCGGTTCCGTTAATTAACACCCCGCCGGGGGATTCTTTATGGAGCCGTTGCCCCCCGTCTCAACGTCACGTCCCCCCCCCCTCCCAGCTGACTGGTGCTGCGGGGCGCAGCCGTGCCCCCCCCCCGGGCACCCCGCTTCGGGCTGTGCCCCGGCGCGGCGCGGCCCGATGACGCGGCTGCCGGGCGGAAGGGGCGCGGGGCGTGCCGCGGCGCTGATTGGGGCGGCCGGGCGGAAGCGGCGGCGGCGGCCATGGGGCGGCGGTGAGCGGCGGGATGGCGGCGGTCCGCGGCTGCCCCCCGGCGGGCTCCGGGGACCGCGCCCTGGCCGAGCTGCTGCTGGAGTTCTCCCGGGCACAGTACCGCGCCAAGGACGGCGGCGGCGCCGCCCCGAAGGTGGGAGGAGGGGGGAGGGGGGGGGGGGGTATCGGTGCCGGTGCCGGTGGGCGCTGACCGGTGTTTGCGCGCAGGTGGAGCGGATCGAGCGGCGCTGCCTGGAGCTCTTCGGCCGCGACTACCGCTACAGCGTGATCCCCAATGCGCACGGCGAGGTCTGCGCCCACTACCCGCGGCACATCGTCCTCCTGGAGCGCGACGCCGGCCGCGACCTGTAAGGCCCCCCCCCCCCCCCCCCGGTTCCCCCCCCCTCCCCCCCCCCCCCCGGAGCGACCACCGGCGGGGGCGGCTTCGCGTTTTTGCCCCGCGGAGCTCCCGCGACGGCCGGGGGGAGCCCCGCCGGGCTGCGCTGCGGCTAATTATAGCCGGTGGTGTCAGGCGCTGGGTACGCCGCTGCCGGGGCTCCCCTCGCTGCCTGCCGGGGCTGCGCTCCGCTGCCGAGTCCCTCCGGGCTCCCCGAGTCCCTCCGGGCTCCCCGAGTCCCTCCGGGCTCCCCGAGTCCCTCCGGGCTCCCCGAGTCCCTCCGGGCTCCCCGAGTCCCTCCGGGCTCCCCGAGTCCCTGGGTGAAAGCTGCCCGAGCTGAGCCTGTGACGGGAGGGGTGCGAAGGCAGCGGGGCGCCCAGCCCAGCTGCTCGCCCCAGCAGCTTTGGATCCTAACGATTGCTGCGCTGCTGCTCACCCCGGGCGCTCAGAAGGGCTCGTGGTTGGGAGCGGGGCTGTGCGATGCTCCCCGTCTTGACGAAGCACCTGTGGTCTTGCTGGAAGGTCTCTGATTAGAGAAACTTTAGTCTGGAAAGCATCTCGGAGCAGGGGAGGCTGTTAGGGGCTGGACAGACAAGACAATCTTGACAGAAATAGTCTGCCTTCACCGTGGGTCAGTGGGTGCTGATGTTCAGTGAGGTAACGGGAAATGCTTGCTTGCAGTTTAGTGCAAGTCTAGGCCAACACATTTCTGGACTTTGACCCACAAGCTCAGAATCACGTTGGTCTGGCTGAGCGTTATCTGCTCCCTGCAGCGCTAATGACAGCCTCTCATTTTTTATTTTCTATTCCAACAAAACATAATGGAATTTTGCAGTCTTAACTGTGTCCGTGACCAGAGTAACGCATTCAGAAGGATGGTGGTCACTGAGTTCCCCTCTCATGTCCAGGTGCTTTGCCTGAGGAAGGCAAACCACGCTGGCACGTGGGCGAGGTGCTGTAGGAGGGTGTCTGTGGAAAACAGCCCCAGCTGATTGCCAGGTGGGAGAATTTCTGCTTAACGGTTAGATCAGATTAGAAAATATTAAACCCCTTGCTGCTGCAAAAAAAGGGAAGCTGAAGTCTGAAGCTGTCAGTGTAACTAGGAGGGTCTTTAGGGGGAAGAGAAACCAAATGCTTCTGCTTTTCCTGCTCTCTCAAGAGGAAAGGGTGCTTAATTGTTCTGATAAGTATTCAAAACAAGTATACTCACACTCATTACCCCTTTTTCTTTCAAGACTTTTGTAAACCGTCAGTGGCAATTAACTTTTTAAATGCTGCTTCTTTCCAAGGCTTGATTTGCTGTACCAGAGAGTCACAGAAACAGACTACCCTTTATCATCCCTCTCCTCCTGATTTCTGGGTGATAATCTCTATAAAAACTGCTAAGCAACTTTTAGACAAATCCAGTTTTTAGTTTTGTCGTTGTACTATATGGAATAATTATGAAATAGAGACTGTAGCACTTCTTGTGTTACAGAACACAAGAACCTCTTCCAGTGAACGGGACGCTCCCTCTAGGACTGAGATTCTTTGGCTGCCTTTTATCTTTGTAATGCTCTTAATTAGCTGGTAAGATTTCCTGAAGCTTGCAGAAGACACTTCACACCTCTGAGAGCACCAAGGTTTTTTGGAAGCAGTTCTTGCTTATGTGAACTCTGCGCTGCCCCGTCAGTTCTGCTGGTACAGCTGCTTCTGAAGCTCTGTGGGGAACCAGCAAAAAATGAGTATTTGTAACACAGATCAGTTTCCTGATCCTGTTCATTCTGTGGCTGGGCAGCTGCGGGAAGAAAGGGTGTTGCTTCATCAAAGTTTGCTAGCAGTACTCTGAAATCCAGGCAGGTACATGAGGTAGCAGGAGGAATTTGGTGTGTGGTTTTGGTCTGTATGTCCCTTGGTCAGGTGCTGCTTGTGAGGAGCCACAGAAAGTATCAGAACGTGTCTGTCAGCCAGGAGTGCCTTCCCTGTGCTGGGAAATCTCTGATGTCCCCCCAGAAGGAGAGGGCAGGTGCTGCAGGCAGTGGAAACGGAGGGATGCACTCAGTTCTTGACTCAGTCTTAGAGTTACTGTGACTGTGTCTGATGAAAACATCCACATCTCCAACACAGGCCACGTCTCTGGTTTCACCTGATGATCCTGTTACGTGTCTGCACTCCAAACAAATATGAGCAGTTGCATGTAATCTAACAGTGTGAGAGGAAATTCTTTGGTCCCAATGCTGTTATGGCTACCCAAGGAGAAACATCTCTGCTTCAGGCCTGTCTAAACTATACAGTTGCCAAAACAGTTGTTTGCGCTAATAGGAAATGTTTCCCTTGTATTTAAAAAGATTAATTCAGATTCGGGATCTGATTTTAGGGGGAGGGTGGTCAGGGAATTAATACAGAGATAAGGTTGCCCAGCAGTATCTTCTGGAAAACAAACTTTTGAAGAAAAAAAAAACAAAACAAAACAAAACAAAAAAAACACACACACAAAAAAAAAAACAAAAAAAAAAAAAAAAAAACCAAAGCACCCAAAAGTTAAAAAAAAATTAAAGAGTTAAGATACACGACATTCCTTCCACCTCATTCTCTAATTTGTGCCAGGCAGCCTTAATGATGTCCTTTCACGCTGCTCTTGAAGTGCTCTGTTTTCTGCATCTTTTTCAATAGATTTTACTCTTACCGATGCTGCATTTAATCACTCGTCCCTGTAAGAGCATTGCACCTGTTTTTCAGACCAGCCTTCCCCCTCCCTACAGTAGTCTCGGTACAACTGTGTTTACTTACCATGTTTAGCTCTTGTTTATCTCTAGTTTTACTAACAATGATTCTTGAGACAAGGAGAACAGAGCGCCCTGTTTGTAGCGCAGCAGTGACGAATAGCAGAGCGGGTCTCTCCAGCGTGTGCTCAGGATTCCCCAGGAGCAGGCACAGGAGCCTGGGAGAGGGGCTCATCCTTCTGTGACCCCGGCGGGGGGCTGGGCTTCAGCTCACCCTGCGTCCCGGGTCCCTGCCAAGCTGCTTGGACTCATTCCCCAGCGCTGTGATGTCTCTCCAGGGAAGCACAGTTAGCGTGCTGAGAGGTGAAACCTGTTGTCTTGCCTCAGCTCCTGGGGAAGTGCTTCTCTTACAATTTCTAATCTTCCAGGCATTTGATTTTTGCTGAATCCCATCTTCTGGACTTAGAAGCAGTGCCATGGAGGTATTATGGTAACATCATATTAAAGTTCTTGTTTACCTCTGTATTTGCTTTTGCAAAGGAAACATAAAGACAGCTGGAGCAGAGTGCAGGATGTGTCTCTTCATTGTGTGTGTTCATTTAAAAACAACCCCGCAATCAAATCTATATTTCAGAATCTCTGAGAGTTCCAAAATAGTTTGGTATTGGGAATTATACACAAAGGCATCTCTTCTCAAGTTGCTCACAGACTGTTCCTGCAACATGTGTTATTCACAGAGGATCTGAGGATCCAAAATCTGAGGAGGAAAGCAGATTTCAGAGCGGAGCTCTTGGCTGTTTGCAGTGACAGTGATGAGCAGAGTTTTGGTGGTGTTGATCAGGCACATGCTTTTCTTGCCTGCACACTTCCTCATGCACTGCCATG